GTAAATCTAATCCAAGGGTTGAGAATTGGTCTTACGGGTCTCACCAAAAACCATTGGTCTCACATGATCCCAAGTCTATATATATATATATATATATTAAGTACTACACTATCAAACTTTACAATTGGCTTAAAATGATAAAAGAAATGTGTGAGACTATTGATTATAATGAGGATTGTTTTGTCATAACTCGTAATATATCGAATTATCGATTTATCCCATTCATATATTCCCATAAATTATTTTCATCCACCATGTAAATACAGTGTTCTTACCTAGTTTTGTATAATTGCGATACATTTTAATAATTTGTTTATATTAATGTACTTGTTACAACTTTGGCCAAAAACTCTCCTCGAAACTCTAAAACTTCAGTTGTGTATCAGACAAAAGGATATGATTTTATGTAATATGATCTTGTTGCTTTGCCAATAAATTAGAATTCCCGTCGGCCGACTTTCGTCCCTGCTCGACGGGTGGGTCTTGCAGTCAAGCTTCCGAAATATACTTGTGTATCAGACAAAAGATCAAAATAAAACTTCAGTTGTAAAAATCTTATTTTTGTATTGAATATTGGTCCAAGAAAAGCATCTTCAGAAAAATCGAAGATTATTCAAAAACTAGTTGAAGTGAAGTTAAGATCGACAACAAAGTGGGTGGAATTATCATCTGGTCGCTTGAAGACCAGTACGAGATAAGGCAGACAGTCTGACAAATACTATTTTGACAAGCCGATTTGGACTGCAAACTTAACCAACAAGTTTGACTCTACCCACATCTCGTATGGGAAAATGCCCTACATCTCAATTAAAGTAAGTTTTAAAATACTATTTTAATAGTATCATGTGTTTCTTTACTGTTCACTCCGCATACAAAAAGGATGTGTTAGGGGAAACGTCTCCATCATATTTTAAGATACACAAAGGCTGAAATAAAAAATACAAACATGCACTAATCAACAAATTAGACAAAGACATACGTTGAAGTTGGCTCGCAACAGTTAATCTATTAGTTGATATAAAAGGTAATTGTGTCAATGCTGCAAATCAACCGTTTGACATAAATATTGAGTGTTAGTTTCTTAGATAAATTGGCGTCAATATCTGAATACTATCTAAGTTCTTCAGATCCTATAGAGTATTTTATTTTACTCTTCGATTATCACATTGTGAGCAAATTTGTCACCATTCAAATTGTTTAAGGTATGACTTTTCTTCATAGTTTCCACAACAAATATGTAATTCTTTATTTTTTTATAAAATATACAAAAATAAAAAGTCAAATATGTTGTGTCCCTATTCTACAAACATTTTTTGTGTTAGTAATTACCCAACCAGACCCCCAACAAGTGATATCAGAGTTGTTCTTTTAATCCCTTGTGGCCACGGAGTTTCAAATGCAGTGACTCCGGGCTATCTGCAAAGCAAGTGGTCCTGAGATTAGGTGGCTCGCATAGCGGGTTGGATATCCAGATTAATAAAAAAAAAGATCTGTAATAACTTCCATAAACAATGATAATGTCACACTGTCCAAATCTCTTCGTTTTCAAAAAGATAACTTTTCTCTTTAGGCATTATTTCGCAAATATAAGCTAGCTTATTTTCTGATTACACATTTGGATGGACAAAAGTTTTCTTATACGCTAGCTTATTGAAACGTTAGTTGGAGCAGCGTAGTAGTTTTTTGACACTTTTTTCAATTATAACCCTGATTAATATCAATTGTTACTTATTACTATTAATTATAAATAAATATTAATTAGTAATAAATATTAATAAAAAATTAACTATTACTAATACTAGCTATATGAGCTACTAGTTACTTGCCTTAAAATATAAAAAGTAATTTCATATGTATACTAGGAGAAGAGCACTTAGCAACAAAATAGAGTACTTAGCCACATGTTCTTTTACCCAAGGGATGTTACACATAAAGTCAACTTTTATAGTACTGAGGATACCCTCCTAACATAAGCTTGTGATCGAACTTCATCATCAATATTCTTCTATAGATTCTTCAACTTTTCAGCATCAAGGAGTGATATTATCATCGAGAATCGATTCCTCAAAAAGTGTATGAAGTGTTAGTCGTCAAATGCTGCTTCCTGTTGTGATATTCCTTCTGCAGCAACCGAAATATTATGAACTTTTCGAGTTTAAGCATAAAACAAAATCAATTTCTCCCACTTAGCTTTAGACTAAATAAAATCATAAAATAAGAATAAAATACTTGGTATAGGTGCACCTATACAACATTTGATAGCAAGAGAGAAGCTAGAGTTATCAATGATTTTCTTTGAGAGATCACTAGATGTATCGAAATTGTGAGGATCGAGGATGGTACCACAAACATCCACACCATCACTATGTACTTGAAGGATACTACAAAGATCCACACCATCACAATATACTTAATGGAGGTGTAGGCGACATGGAAACATTGATAAAGGTGTGTGCACTATGCAAACTTTTAATGAGTTCATTTCAGATTTGAAGAGGCAATTCTACATGAAGAATGTCATCCATGAGGCTAGAGTCGACTCTAAAGACTCAAACAATTAGGATCGATATGTGGCCATGTGAATAATTTTTCTAGTCTCACGCTTGAGATACCGGCTCTTTTAGATTATGACACTTTGTTTTACTTCTTGGATGGGCTATCTCTACGGGAAAATATGGAGATCTGAGGCCGCAAGGTATGAGACATTTCTCGTGCAATCGCAGAGACCGTAAGGTATGAGACCCTAAAAGGCTGAAAAATCAAAATCATGAGTTTTCAGTTAAAGAACTCCCTTATGTGTTCAAAAAGTTGGATG